TTTAATTGTATTGAAATAGGTAAATAGAAATATATAATTTGAGCGTAACGAGAAAATTTTTTTTGGTAATTTAATTGGTAAATGATGGGTGGCCCGGATAAATTTCAATCTCCCGGCCTGAATTTTGTTCCCACTCCGCCCATGCTTTCCTCTGACTTGCTCTAAGCAAAGAAAACACCAAAACAATTATCAAATTGTTCCATTAAATACCTACACTTAAACCATAAATTGTAAATATCTGTAAATTTTATTTCTGTTCACATTATTAAAATTGTAGACTAATAACCTAAGATGTGCAGGCCTTATCAATTATCATTAATAAAAAATAATAATAATAATAAATAAAAAGCCTATGAGAAGCCCTAGATAATAATGTTACCTTCAAATTTTATTTGAGATAAACTCACTCTAAATTTTAAGCTAACAGAGTTACACGTGGTCTGCTGAGCGTAAAATTTGGTATGTTATAGGTACGTTTAGACGGAGACAACACAATACACTGGTATCAAATCCTCTGATGTGGTTTTAAGGGGAGTCCCTAAAGAAAATCTAAAAGTAGTTATACAGCACTATACTGGCATTAGACAGACAGGTAACAGTTAATGCAAATTCAACTTCAGTAAAGYATTTATTTTTTATTCATTTAGATCTATTTTGGGTAGGTACCCTTGTAATTATTTTTTAATAATTTTCTTTTCCCTTTCAAATATTTTCAATGTTTTTTTCTGTTAACATTAAKCTTAAATTTAAATAAATCCATAATAAAGTTTGAAAACACTTTTGTACAAGATGCTCAATCTCATGCTAAATTTCATTTAAGTGTATTATACTTAACTGTAGTTAAATGTTCATTAGTTTAACTATACTCTCCTCAGATATAATATATGTTTAATACTTGTATGCAAAGATGATTTAACAATAAGCATTAGCTATCTAGGACGGGGTTGACCSCCTTATCATTATCTCACATTGGATGTAAAACTGTTAGCTTATAGTCTATAATCGTGCATAATACAAATTAMATGATCATTATAAAAACACGAATGTAAATAAATAGGTATAATTATTGTTAAGTATTTAAAGCGTATTAAAACCGCTATACTCGTATCCAATCGTTTATATACATACCAAAAGCGTCACTTGAAAATATTATAATATTATGCCACACGATTCGAATGACAACGAATACATAACATTTGAAAACAAAACACAAATGTAATAATTCTAACAAACAATATATTATTATTTTAAGCTAATCGGCGAAAAATGAGTTTCTAGCACAACACGTCGCGAAGTTCATATAAATTATATAAATTAAACACTGCTAACATCTACAATATTATAAGAGTTTGCTGCAGGTGCATCTTAATCTTAATATATATACAAAAATTGAAAAACACTCAAATTTAAATCCTGTGGTTGGGGGGGGGAGTCGATTCAGACGACTACCACGACAACACCGGCGGCGGGCGGCTGTCGTTCAGGCACTGGTTGTTGTTGCGATTGTCGTCGTGGTATCGGTACAGACGTAGCCGTGCTTAGGTTCGTCCCTGCAGTTGTCGTCGTAATCGTCGCAGCCGCGGCGGCCACTGTCGTCGTCGAGGCGGTCGCGGTCACGGAGGCTGTTGTGACGTCGGTGGAGGCCGGGGTGGACGAGGCTACGGGGTTGTCGCGTTGGCCGACGTCTTGTGCAGTGATGATGTCGCTTGCAACTCCGCCGTCGAGAACCGTCAGCTGACGGCGGTTCCCGTCGTTGTCCTCGGTGGCCGAGATCTGCACGGACGGCACCATTTTCGGTTTGAAACCACCGTACTCGATGTAAACGACCTTAGTGCGCTGCGGCTTGGACGGCGAATACCCACCGCCGACCCTGTTGGACACGGCGCCGGCCGACTGTTGCAGTATGTACCGCGATTTCCGGCCACCGCCGTAGTAGTTGTTGTGTTGCGCGTAAAACGGTGCCGGACGTCCCGGTTGCACCATCGACGACTTGACGTAGTACGTCCACGGCACCGGATATTGGGACGCCCACACCGGATGGCTGGGCCGGAACGGCGGTACCGGTTGGTGTTGCTTGCCCGCGGCGCCGGCCGTCTGATCCTGGTCATATTTGATCCCGATCACGTTGTCACTTTCGCCAGCAACGCTGCCGCCGTAATCCGGTGACGGTTGTTTTTGTTGTTGATGCAGCGGTAGCTGGTGGTGACCGTAGAAGTTACCACCACCGCCGTTGTTATTATTGTTGTTGTCGTACGTGGACTGCGTTTGCGTCCTGCTGTTGCGTCGCGCAGGTGGTCTGCCGCCGTCCCTGGCGCGGTAATAGTAGTTGAGCTGTTGCTGCTGCGGATACTTGCCGACACCACTAAAATGGTTGTGGTAGTATAACTGACCACCGCCGTATTGCAAGGGCACCGGTGAGTACACGCCCGCCATGTTGCTGTTAAGTTGCTGTTGTTGCTGTAGTTGTAATTGTTGTTGTTGCTGCTGCTGTTGCTGTTGTTTCTGCTGTTGTTGCTGCTGTTGTTGCTGCTGTTGTTGTTGCTGCTGTTGTTGTTGCTGCTGCTGCTGCTGCTGTTGTTGTTGTTGCTGTTGTTGTTGCGCAAGGTTATGTTGATAGTAGTGGTGATATGAATATTGATGCTGCAGCTGATCGTCGTCGTCATTATTTTTAATGGTGAAGAGGTTATTGTTGTTATTGCTATTGTACAAGTRCGAAAGCTGCAGTGGCTGATCGAAGAGAGCGGGTGCTGTGGCAACGGTTTGTAGCTGCTGATGTACTTGTTGGATCGATGACGGCTGCTGCAGAAGTTCCGAGCTGGGTTCGGATGGTTGTTGCGCGTTCGATTCCGGTTGCCGTGCCTCCTGTTCAGGTTGTCGTAGTTCCGGTTTGGATTGTCGTAGCTCCGGTTCGGGTTGTTGCAGCTCCGATTCAGATTGTAGACTTCCTTCGGATATTATATACTTGTACTCTGGTTGGGCTTGACTCGAGGGTGAATCGACGAGGTGTTGTTCCGACGAGCTGGGCACGGACATGATTTCTACCTCGGTACGTTCTCGGCCTACGAAAGACGAGAGCGCRGGTATTACGTCGACGGTCATCGGTTGCTGCGTTGACGACTGGGCAGACCACACCGCGGACATTTGTGTGGGCGGCATCAGCAACGGGGCCAACAGCAGTTGCTGTTGCTGTTGCCGTTGCTTTTCGTCTTGTTGTCCGTTATTGTCATTGTCCAGTTGCAACTGTAACGATATATATATATATATATATTATGTAATATAACAGTTTAAACACTATATACGGTCTAATATTTATATTGACCTAATAAAATAGTATAATATCGTAATTTACGCTCGCATGCGTACGATTTGCGGAATTGGCACAGATATACGGTGGAATTTCGAAATGCAAATCAATAAGAAATAACCAAGTGATTTAATTATGAAGACGCCGATTTAAAAAAGCTAGGTRTGCTACTCATGCCTCCCCCCCCCACGTTACCTGAACAATCGCGCGTAGAAATTGAAATAGACGTTTGAAACCGACCGGAAATAACCAAAATGTCTACACGTATTAGTCGTATAGTTAATGCTGCAGCTTTTAGAGCAGCCCGTCGATAATAATAAATTTCATTACTATACTGCAGGTACGGTCGTTATTACACTCTACAGTGCAGTAAACGAGAAAGGCGGACAAAAATAATACCAGCTCAAGCCGCCGTGTGCATATATAGAGATACCTACCTATATATACAATAAAACATGGGTAGGTATTGGTAAACATTATAGTGTACACCTCTATATATACAACAGTGCGACACGTGATGCCGCCGAACGGTATTATATATAGTATACCTATATCGGTGAACATAATAATATCCACCGCGTTTGTAGAAATCTCTCCTGGCGCTCACACACGAGCAAAAACAACTTTTGCGCGATCCGATTTTCGCGTCCGCGGTGTTTTCACTCGCGCTTTCTATACGACGGTGGCCGCAAAGTGTACACACACGCACACGCACACACACGCACGCTATAAACATAATATAATACATTAAAACCAGTCGGCGGTCTTTGACGCGATTCTTTGCACGCAGTCAGACGTATTATAGATATATAATATGGGCATAAACCTTAAGTCAGTACCACCTATACCTTGTGGTACTTACATACACAGTCGCACAACGAGCATATACCTAACGGGGCCTGAGGGCGACTTGTGTGTTATTATAGCCTCGCCGGTGGTGTTGTAGCGCACACGTGGGGCCACGATGTGTATGTGTGTGTGTGTGTGTGTGTGTGTGTGTGTGTGTGAGAGAGAGAGAGAGAGCGAGAGAGGTTTGTGTTTGTGTTTGAGAAGAAATGGAAAGACCGGTTTGGTGTCGAGCACTCGGCGCGACGATACACGTGTGGCGTGTACACTGCAAGGACGTAAAATATAGGTACGCGCGCGAGTCGGCGGAGGTGCATTTAGCGCTGCAGGTAATTTTCTATATGTATAAAGTGTGAACGTATAGGTACAGGTAGAAGTTAGTATTATATAGTAATCTTAATGGAGTAGTAGTATAGTAGTAGTAACTCTCACTTTCTTTTCGGGGCCGCGATTCGCACGTAAAAATTATACGCGGACAAGTTAGAAATGCGTTTGTCTCTCTCCCGCCGCAGAGAGAGCCACACTGATCGATGATGGGAACCCGAAATCGGAGCTCGCAGAAATCCATATAAGAACTCGCGTACCCGCGCGAACCGTCCACGTACAGAGTAAGCCTTGTGCATATAGTTATGTTCTAGGAAATTCGAAACCACACGGGAGGACTAGCCGTGGTCGTAGTTTGTGGCATGGCATAGAACTTGAAATATTTAAGTCTAATATTCCATCTACCCGACCGCAAACCCACACATCCTCTACCCATCCGTTCAAAACTCGATAAAGGCATCTGWTATCATATTTTTAACTATRCATGCTGTATAATAATAATACTAAAATAACTGCCTACTGTAGTTATACCCAGCATACCTTTAAAAACTCATAGGCAAMCCACCTCTATATTGCCTAGTTCATCACGCTATGGTGTCGTTGTCAGACTCACCTTGTTTTGGTGATCGCCGTTTTCCGTCACCACTGCCTGGGTAGTCGCGGACGATCGCGATTCCTCCGATTCGCTGGAATTCGGTTGCAGTTGGAAYGGCTGTGAAAGCGCATCCGCTAAAGGCGATGGTTCTAACGCGTCGACAGAATTTTCAACCGATAAAGCCGGAATTTCACCGGTTCCGATGGCCGTAGCCACGGCGGCGGCCACTTGGACAGGAGCCACGGGTTCAGCGTTTGCTGCGCAACTGCAACTCACCAACAGTATTGCTATCACTGCTGAAGTTACCCGCAGTAGCGTTGGCGCACAGTTGTGATGGTGACCACCACTGACTTTTTTCTAAAATACAATAAGTGAACGCGAATATTGAAAACAAAAATTATAATTGTTTAAGATAAGATTTTTTTTAAACAGACGTGATATATTCACGTAATTTAAAAAAACAGTTTTTTTTTAAGATTTAAATTAGCGTCACTGCAGTTGCAGGGTGACTCCATTAATCACTCGATCCATGCCATAAAATTTATCGTAATTAAAAACTAGCACACATGATCATAATGTAGAAAAATAATTACTTTACAGATTGAATGATTAAAAATAAAAATAATTAATGCCAAATTATCGAAAACCTATATTAGTTTTCAGTTTATACCAGTAATCAATCGTTGAAATTATCAGCTATCAATACTCACCATCGTCATTGTTGTATCGACGTCACTGTTGTAGCCACGCGTTGAACTGGATGTCATTTCACGATGACATTGAACAATCTTGTACGATTCTAGAGCTGTAAAGATCATCCTGAAAAATCCTGTCTCGACAGATACCGTTGATTCTTCTTTGTCGTCGCCGATGCCATTCACCGAGATTCAGTGAACGCAATAAAGGATATAATCACAAAATGTTGAAACTCAACAATTTTGTTGGGATGGTGTCCTTACAAAAGACGGATAATAATGATGACCTACGTTAGGCAGTGAGATAAAAAATTTTCTAGTAACAACGATGTAAGGCTTGAATAAAAAACGAAAAAATCTGCAAGTTAGATTTTTTTGTGTATATTGTTGTTGTTGTTGTTGTCGTTGTTGATGTTAACGATGGTGTTGTTGTCGTAGTTGGTGTTGACGGCCAAGAGTGCGTTGCGCGACTGCTGCGACAGAATGTTGCTGATTGGAAACAAGCATCCAGATCCTCTCATTAAGGGTTTGCCGATTTAGTGTGCGCGTAAACATCGAATACGATACGAGCATAAATTGTAGTAGTGGTAGTGCAATATATCGTACAGAGTAATATAAGAAAGTGTATACTCGAGAGATGGCTGGCTACAACTCTCACTACACTTACTGTAAGCGCGGACTCAACCGGTTTGACAGCGGCGGCGGTCCCGGACTGACTATATACTATAATACACAACCGTAATGTCGGTGTACCCGCAAACCCAGACTTGCCGGGGTGGTATAGGAAATCTCTCCTATCTACACCGCAGTGACGACGACGTGCAAGTGTGTACCTACACATATATATATAATCGAAAACAAAACATGTTTATGTATAATATTATTATTATTATTATTATTAATATAAATCGTAATAGGAGAAATTAATATAGATTCGCACGAATTATAGAGTAATCAACATAGTAACCGCACAGCGAAATGGCCAACTCTTTACTCTTTGGCGTTTCATATTATAAAATTAACATCCGCGCATGTTCGATATACATATAATAAACACGTCGAGGCTATAATATTTCATTATAACCGTTATAAAGTATATATACAAAATATATACGCTAAGCAATTGGTTTTTTGGTGCTAAAATCAATTGGATATATTATAAATGTACAAACAACATTTTCARAAACACATCATTATCCTACATACGCCATTAAAATAACTATTATTGAGTGACTTTCTTTAAACGTAATAATATTAGATACATATTACCTGCACTGTGTGTCTGTATATTATACATTATGTAGGTATATTATTTTATACATACAAATATATATTGTGGTGAGTACTTTTTTTGATAAATATAATTTAAACGTCAATACGTTTGTTCATTAGTAAATTACCTACTTACTTAAACTCCCAATAAATATAGGATGAGATTACAAACATTTGAAAAAAGATTGGATGAATATGATGRAATCCTTCCAGGCTTATTATTTATTAAATTCAAAAATTATCTTGAATTTCCGATTGATTATTGACTGATCATTGTCATTATTTAGTCTGAATATTTTTTTTTTCCAAAAACTACACTTCATCCACATCTTTTACTAAAATACTGTAAAAATAATATTCTTATTTAATAACACAGTATTAATTTTATAAGACGTTAGAAATTGTTTACATGTTTTCAAAAAACTATACTCCATACCACCATGGCACCATACCTTGCTTTATGGTTATTAAARTTAATAAGTTTATGTTTTTAGAATTAACTGAATTATTTAAAAATGTAAGTAAATATTTATTTATTATTTAAGTACTTAGAATACTTTCAAACTACTAAGCTCTTTTCTAAGATAGTTRCATGTATATGTGGTATTTGTGATGGTAATTAAACATTAAGCTGTTAAAAGTTTTAACCAAATCATATACACAAATATTTATGCAGATTATACTGTCTTAAACACAACTAATGTACATACTACTACTACATGTATATAAATATAACACAATATATAAATATATTAAAATCTGAACTTATCTTATAAAACGCTGTTTATGACAAATTAACAAAGTATCTTTTAAAGTTGAAACTAAATACGAACCATAATACAAACTATACATGTTTAAAGATATTTTGAGCAGTTTTGTTTTTATTTAACAAACTTGTTTTAAGCTGTAAAATATTTATATACAAATACAAATTTGAAATGGTTTTTAAAACACAAAACTATTTTATATATTTTCCTTGCATTACAAATATATATTTTCAAAATATTATGATTGTTTAATAATTTCYGCTACCAGCTAAGTGTCGATTTTTTACTTGTTGGTAGTCCTAATTCCTAGAAATTTAAATGTTTTGTGTTCAACTTAGTAAACATATTTTATTTTAAATAAAATAGAGTTTTCGTATTTCGTACACATGCACCTGTATTACTATTGGATATTTATTTTTTATTCATATTATAAATATATTTACATAAATAAATCGATAATGATATGCATCATAAATTATTATRTGACAAGTTATGYATACTATTAGATTCAATTGATTAATATTAGGTATATTATATATTTTTAAAAATGAATTAGTAATTAAATTTCACTTTAATTATAATTTTAATTATTTATATAAAGAGTGTATTAATTATAAAAATGCTTAAGTTTTATTGAATGCTATAAAGTAACAAAAAATAAAATAATATTTATTTTCCATTAATATTATTTCTATTAATACATTTCCAAAGCCGTATTAGTAGGTAGAAAATAATAAATTAATTAAATTTTTATTATTTCCAGTTATGACTTTTACAMATTGGTGTTTCGATTATTCTACACAATAACTTATAAAAGGTCTAAATTCAATCAAGTACTTTCATCTTACTCTAAATATAACAAACGCATAATTTCATTTACTCATTAGTCATTAGGTACTTACTATTACAAATATTATAATATTAATAAATTGGTAATTTGTAAAGAGTACCTCCATATATTTTTTAACATACAGAATGATTCATTAACATTCCCATTTACTAAAAAAAATTATTCAAAATTGCTAAAAATATTTATTGAAAAATCATATATTTATACTTACCTACTATTAATGAGTGACTTGTGGCAATACAAAATTTTTTCTTAGAAATATGAGTAGGTACCATCACATTTTTTTATTGTAAATAGTAAAATAGATATGATTTTTTGAAAATGATGACGTAGGAAGGTACTATATCGAAATTTGAACGATTAGTTTCTGTGYCATTACTTATGGAAAATATTTGTGGACAGTGATAACACCTGCTGAAAATTGTAGTACATACCTAATTACTAATTGATAATAACATTTTATTTTTTATTATTTGTACAAATTGTCAGAACTATATTATGTTTATAATTTATTATATAACAATGTTTTTTTTTTTTTATATTTGATGTACCTAAACCATTATTATTTATTAACGTTTTTCATTTTTAATACATATTTATTAACTTCTACACTACTTTAAATAATTTTGATTTAAATGCATCTGAAACAAATAAATAAAAATAAAATGTTTAACAATTGTACAGAAAAAAAATGCGGTTATTACATATTCAAAACATAATAACCTAACTTTGTTTAAAAAAATCTGTGTATTTTAAAATATGGTTTCTAATCAGTATATATACTTAAACATTTCGAAAATCAAAAATTAAATAAAAATATACATTATTGATGGTTAGACACTATCGCCTGCCTACTTATATATTTACCGAATCGATAGATGGCTGAAATCAAAACTACAATATTTACTGTTGTCACTTGTTTCGATAAGTACCTAACCATTGGATATTCATAATATATACATTAATACGATATTACAAGTACCATTGTTATAAATACTAGTCAATGCTAATATTTAAATTTGAAAGTAAAAACTTGTTKGTGAATACATTACACCTTAAAAAAAAAAAAAAAAGAGTTTTGCTATACTTACGAGTTATGACAAATGAATATTATATTGATTTATAATAAATACAAATTTGATAATTTTTATTCGATACTTATGTATTTTTAGTTGATTATTATACATAAAATTAAATTGTTCTATTGTATTTTATAATATAATGAATAATATGTAACGTATAAAAAATACATATAGATGAAAATGAGGAACAATTTTTTTATAATTTTTAAGTTTAAAATATATAATCTACAGTCTACGCAATGTTTATATATTTTTAATGGTTATATTTAAACTTATACCTTTGGTTTAATAAATATATATTCACATACATTTTTTATAAAATCGATTTATATATTATGTAAATTCTACAAATATTCAATATATATATATATCAATTTATAATATGAACTCTCACATTTAAAAATATGTTTGAAATTACTATGATGAAAATGCAATTCAATTAAAACGTATAAATAATTTAYCAGATGACATATAACCTTAAAAAAATAAACATATTATTGGATTATATTACAATAAAAAAATATTGAAATACATAAAGAGTAAAAACAGAATAGTATAGTAACTGACAGACTCGATATTAGCCAATGAACACTTCACCTACCTCACTCATATTGATAGAAGGCAGAACTGAATAATTCAGTATTGCTTAAATTATTAACAGTGAAAACACTTTTAAGTAAATAAATGTAATAAATAAATAATTTATTAACTAAATAATGTAAAAAAAAATATACAATAAGACTTACGACTATATAATACAAAATTAATATAATTCGAATGTAGGTGATCCATTGATACTTGAATGTGTTTAAATACTTTTAACCGTATCAATTAGACAATTTGACTTCGAATCATAAAATTATGCAAAATTTAAAAATCTACTTTTTCAAAATGAGATAGGTAATTCTTAACACTGATTTTAAAATTTWAAATATGCTTTACATATGATRGTAGAAATATAGTAAAAAATGATTTCAAAGCAATATCTACATTTTACGGAAATCGAACCATTATAAATTTAAAGTATTGATAATAATATYGATATGGGCTTTTCAAAATTGATATTATTAATTCAATTTGTAGGCAGTCATTATAAATGCTCATAGAATAATTATTGGAAAGCCATACAAATTATTTTTCAATAAAACAACGTTAAAACATTATACGTGCCCAATATCAGATTCCCAGAATTTCCATTCGTTATAGCGAACATTATTATGGAGCACTCCCTCGAGAACGTATACCTTACCTATACATATTGAAAAAAAAAAATTAAAATTAAAATTCTAAACCAATCGCTCATCTCAAAATCTCAAAACGTGTATGCGAGGTGTGTCATACACGTTTTCGTATAGATCATGTCTCATATAAAAAAAACACACATGCACATTAAATAGGTAGCTGATAGCGAACTGTATCAACCGGTTTGAACCTTTTAAAATAATATGAAAAAAATACACATACTAAATTGAACACGCGCGTATATCTTAATACTAAAATAATTCGCGGGAAAACGATACGGGTAATGTATTTTTTTCACCTACAAGTGTGCAGCGTGTGAAATCGCAATTTCCTTTTATATATTATAATAATATACACTATATAGTACTTATATCGTCGCGTCGTCATGTATGTATATACGATCATAGATATATTATACATATAGGTCACCGTGTTTCCGGTACATAAAATATAAACCGCTATATCGGCTATATAATAAATATATATGCCTACTGTTGCCTCTTTGTCGGACATGATATTATTCTAATATAATATATCTATAACACCTATAATAGGCAAAAATAAATAATAATCATAGCGTGCACATGGTGCATGTATAATAATACGTGAGCATGATATGGTCGTATTATATGCATAATATTGTATCACGTATRTATTATATTATTATTATACTATAATATATAGGTACACTCACAATAATCGATATTGTCGAATTGTGGCGGTACAGGTATATAGACGGCGGCGGCAGGTGCTGCGCGAATAAAACGACCGCCTCCGCCGCGTTATCGCGGAACTAATTGGTGCCTACGTTACAGCAAACGGTACCTATGGGATATAACATGGGACGTATGGGAATTCAGGATCCTACGGGATCGGTTACAGTGTTGTACTTGTAGACTACGTGGATTTTAGACCGATGATCAGTTGGAAAATGTCAACGGGTTTCCAGCACGATTACAGTTTGCGGCCCTTCCATATACAATTATACACATAATATATACCTAACATTGTGAAACGAGGGATAACTTTAATGGGTGGGTAGCAAATCCGTTTTGAACTTAAAAAAAAATTCTAAAAATGTTCACTCGTGCAATATTGTGCGTCTATTACGGACTGCGGCCGACGTCCAATATATAGGTATTAACTGTACGTAATAGAATTGTCTTATTAAATCTACCACGTGAGCGTCGTGAGCATAGTTTTGTGGTCAGCGAACACATTAGATCGATCACGGTGCTCGAGACTCGTATGCCGGAAAAACGGAAAACCCAAAACTTTGTAGAGTATGGCTAAACACGGTGAAAAAGATCAAAATTCTTAGACTCAATCGGTGATAATATATATAATATATATGTATACATAAATTGTACAGTATGTATAAATAACGAATATCGTAACTGCTTTAATATAACACCCGATGGCCACTATTTTCCGTTACCTACTTATAACGTTTCCGAGCGATGAATGATGATCATTATGATAATGATGATAATGATAAAAATATTACAATCGATTAAAATGTTATCGTATACACAAGACTACAAGACTACAAGAGTGACCGTTCTCGCGGTGGCTGTGGCCACAAGCGTGTTGCGCGCGCAAAATCGGCAGCAGCGGTGATGACGGCGGCAATAATACAATTATATTGTTATTATTATTATTATTCGATGCGGCGCTAAAAGGGAATAAAAAAACACATCCCTTTTACTGCCACGTTTATAATATACACTATAGGTATATCTGTTCTGTATAGAGGTGCTATGACAACGGTGACGGTTTCGCTCACCGGTATAGTCGCCACCGTCATTGCGCGGGGTCGAGCGGAGCGCCGCCGGTATTTTATTTTATTATTATTATTATTTATTTTTATTATTTCAAACCCGTCGCAACACGGTACAGCTCACACACACACACACACACACACTCACATATAATATATATGTAATAAGTACATTGGTACACTGCAGCGCGGCACACAACGATAATCTCTGTACTACCCTACGCGACGGCGGCGACGGTTCGTCTCTCTCGGGGACACGCGCGCGCGCGCCGGCGAGATTCGTTTTCCACCGCCGCGCTTTTCACCCGGGCGCGCGATAGTCTGTCGATCTCGCCGCCGCCGGTTTTCCACGAACCCACCACCACACCGCGTGACGTCTACGTCGCCGTCGACGGTGGACGCGACCGCCGCGCCGCCGGCAACAGAGAGCGCCGCCGGCGGTCGTAGCGGCAGCAGAAACCGCCGCCGCCGTCATCGCCGGGCCCGGAACCGCGCGCGGCCGTCCTCCCGCGCCCGCCCGCCCATTATCCGTCTGCCACACACCCCTCTTGCCCGTCACCGACGCAAACCTCCCGGCCGGGCGGCGGTGGCAGCTCCAAGCAGCGGCGGCGGCGAGCAGTCGTCAGTCGGTCACGGCGTCCCGGTGAGCGACGTTAGTTTGTCAGTGTGTGTGTATCACAGTCTGTGTGCGCGCGTGTCTGTGTGTCARCGTTTAGTGGTGTGTGCGAGCGAGCGATCGTTTCACCCGGCGGGGCATAGTGTGTGCCGAGTCTTAGCGTCGTACGGAAACTCGCCGCGCGACCGGAACGGGAATAAAAGAGATAAGAATAAGGAAACCCGTCGGCGGCACCGCACTACCACAACTGTCATCTTCAAGTCACCAAGTTTTATTTTTTTCACTTCTTCTATTCCTTTTTTCTTCTTTTTCTTCAACCACCGCACATTTGGACGACCGCGTGGATCTCGAACACGCGCCCCGACGACCCTCATCCTGCGAGGGTCGTTTTATTAAATTCCGAATCGTATAATATATGTTGACGCGATTCCATTATATCGTACACGACGACCCTTAAATACGTACTTAAAAAAATCCCCCTTTTTGAATCTCCGTCGTCTGCTTTAATACATCGTTACAGTTGCAAATTGTTATAGATTTCGCTGTACGATTGCCGCAGTGTTGCTGGCGGCAGGCAAGGCTATAAATATCTCAAAAAGGCAGACAGAAATAAACACTAAGAAAGAAAAAAAGATAAAATGATCGTAAACTTTTCGGCGCTCGTTGAATGGCGAAGAAGTTACTTCTTTGAAGTGCTCGGAAGTCTTAGAAAAGTCGCAGTGGCTAAACCACCACCGACTCTGACGGTATCTTCCATTCGGCAATGCATTTAATCCATTTCAAGAACATTAGTCATTAGTTAGCACGACTTGATCAATGAAGTCTTCGGACAGYGGCGGAGAAGGTGGTGAAGAAGATTCTGGTGGTGGGGGTGGAAGTACCAAAACAGTCAAGTGGCGACGGCAAGCTTTAACTACTTCAGGTTCAACAATTGTGGGCTGCAGATTGATGATCGCAACAATGTTCATCTTCTTCTTGATCACCGGCACGGCCGCCGTGTTATCAAACTCCACGTTCAAAGGTACTGTTACCAGTTATAATTGTTTACTATATATTTTATACTATACATAATGCAGTAAAACCATATAATACATAATATTATGTTATCGATGTATAAAAACAAATAGTGATTGATCCCTTTAGACTTAGGTTTGTCTATGCCAATGCCACTGCGGAATTGTTATTATGTGAATACACGACGACGTACCGTTACGTCTGGTTGTATTTGTTGACCGCGATGGACATGGCTATTCAAAACGAATAAAAATTAACTTTTCGTTTATTAAATTCGAATTTGTATTAATAATTCTCACGCGAATATTATGTTTGTAACGCATCTTAGTGGTTAGACCGTATACTTAAAGCTTTGTGTGTGTGTGTGTGTGTGTGTGTATATATATCGATATAAAACACACGAGAATAACGATATTCACCGTGGTCGGTATCGTGTTGTCGTAATGCGATARGTATATCAGTTGAGATCGAATAGAGCGGGAACGCATATATTATATTATATTATATGATATAATATGAAGGCGCCGCCGATAAGGATATAATATTATGGTATAGTTAATACTTAATATTAATAATGAGTATCACAAGAAAGGGATTGTTATACGTGCATTTCTGAAATGACATTGGGGTTATAATAATATGGTTTACGATGTATAAGTATTGCGTATACGGTAACCGATACGGTGATACCTGAAAAGACCGTGTGTCAGTGGATGGGGATTGTGGTATTGGTGCATGATGGCTATTGTCTTTTTTTGCTTTTCATTATTATTATCATAATAATAATATGTTATGCTATACGTCGACGGTTTTTGCGCACTATAATAATATGCAACTAGATCTATAATAATATTATATTTCGGAACCCTATGTTGAGTAGGTATATTGCATAAACCGACATCTCGGAAATCTTTTCTTAAAAGATAAGTTTCGCTAGAAAGAATTTATCGAAATAGGCAACCTGCCCGAGGTACACAATTTTACTATACAATATGCACAAATATTATAATTATAATACGAGTATATAGATTCCCGGAACAGGAAAATCGTTAAGGTACGTAGTACATACAAACGTGCACCTTACCGAAGCCATTCGAACGTTCTCGATAAGATTCGGAAGTGTGTGCGGGTTGGGGCGAGGGTAATAGTTTCCAAAATCTCAGGATCCCCGGACGTAAAACACACCCCTCCTATAATAGTAGTTCCTATATAACACTTCTCGTCAATCTCTTCGTTGGGCCACGGGTGTAAAACACTCCTGCACCGCCGTTACCACTACCACCACCACCACCACCACCACTTACGACGAAAATCAGTGGCCGTAATAATATATTATTCTTTATCACCATTCACCCGTAATGTTTTATTATTGTTATATAATATGTGTATAATATTATATTATATTATATATTTATATACATAATGGGCTGTAGCCTTTCGTACGCCGTTATAATAGTAATATAGTACCTATAAAATATAATAACATTCTAACCACCGTAATATTAATATTATATATAATCACAATATCGTACATTATGCGCTTTCGGGACGACATCAGTAGTTTTTATGTCGCTCTACGTTCTCAAAAACCCGCGAACGACAAAAACGCATCGTCGCTATAATAACACAGTGACTGCAGCAGCGGCAGTGCTAATAAACTGGTGCGGTTTGCGGAATCCACCGATCTCGCTTGCTCCGTTCTGTCGTGTACGGACGGACGCGTAAAAATAGACTCTTGAGTCTCGGTTTTAAATTTAACGGGGAACACGGAGGCGTATATCACGCGTAATCGTACATCGAGTATAAGTAGCCGACCGTGTACATATGTGTGTGTGCGCGCGCGCGTATATGTGTACACGTATCGCACACAATATAAGCGTGTGCGGCACATATAACGTTATGCGCGCGTATTAAATGCGTCCGATTGGAGGTGGTGGCGATTTTGCAGACGACCCGCAACGGCGCGTCCCGTCCGTCAAGTGAATAATAAAATTCGTCGTCGCCGCCGATCCATTTATTATTAAACACGCATAACATAATATTATACGGCGACCGATGCGCCGCACACGCGTTTATATATAGAAGCGACTCGGGCGATTCGAAAGTTACGCCGCGTCGCCGGTTAAGCCGCGTCATAATATTATGCGACGACGTATGCGTTAGTGTACAATAATAATTTAACGTTTTATAAATATACAGACTACGGACGGCGTGGCGTCAAAAGCTTCGTCGTGGCCGTCGCGTAGTCGACGGTCGTAGTCACAATCGGCGGCGGCGGCAGCTAATCGCATTACTATGCGTGGCGTTTTTATTTTATAGCTAATTTTTTTATCTAATGGTCAACGCGCGTGTTTCTAAATATGGAATCGTCCRGTCGCTTTCGTTGCGCCGACGCCACCCAGTAGTCTTCTTTTATAGCAGTTCCCCGTTCGCCTCAAGATATTAGGCATGTTACGAGTATAATATTATACACCCGTACGTCATCACTATGCACAATAATATAATAATAATTAATACTAAAATTATAACGTTTTAATTACCATTATTATTTTCCGTACTGGCGCAAGCGGAAAGAATCAAGTTTAATAAAAATATCATGATGTACGTGTCTAGATGGTTATTGTCGCGCGCCAAGACCGCATGCAGGACAGGGCGTGGGCGACCACGAGTTTCGTGCCATATATTTTTTATTTTTTTTTTTTGGCTTTTTCATTATATATTATTTTGTTTGTCTCGCCCACCGCGAAAAGACAGAAAAAGAGAGAGAGAGTGAGAAAGATTGAGCGATAGAATAATTCCTTGGAGACCAACTACAGAGTAGCAATGTGTAGAGTTTCCCCAATCCGGCTTAGTTTGGTCGAACGAGACTTAGTCATCGTTGTTGCGATATACAGATACATACCTACATAGTATATACCTAGTAGTAGCTACTACATAATATAATACACAGCGCATTATACATAATATAATAATATAAACTGAAAATTCGATTATGCTTTTGGGCACACGGCGTTWAAGTTTGAAATATTAATGTGTAGCGCAACAGACTTAAATCACTCGCGATTTTTCCGAGTGGGCTATTAAAATCACCGTGCACACCATCCCTCGTCACGTTATACTTCTGAATAAATTTACCACGCGGCGATGCGTATGCATATTGCATAGACATTAGACACACACCATATATATAATAACGTAAAATATAAGTTTAATAATAAATTAGGTACACGTTGCTGCATATATATAGTGTATATATAGCAAATACAATATAAGGCGTAGGCAACTATACTTTCCATTTTCCTCACACCCATTATAGAAAGACGAGCTTAACACTACATATATAGCCCACCCTATATGAATAATATATATATAAATATATATATTCATCCCCGTTTTGTACACAGGAAACTAGTTACACCTTGTATAGACTTTCTTATACACTCTCTCTCTCTCTCTCTCTCTTACTTTCTATATATATATATATAATATATATTTAATGCTTGGGCGTTTCGCCACGAACGACAATGCGTCGATGTTCTTGGGGTGTCGGGGAATCCGGCTGCTAAGACGTGTGGTTATTCCCACGGACGTAAGCGCCTTTGTGATTACGCGGGCGCAGGCCCATATGAGTGTTAATGTGAGTGTGTGTGTGTGTGAGTATTTGTTATAATGATAATGACGATGATGGGAACCACTGCAGCGATCGTGCGGTGTTTAGGGGAAGCGCAGCGTGTGTTGCGTAGGTACTATACGTCATTGCGGGTAGACAGGTAAAAGATTGGCGCGTGTGAAAAACTCTCAATCACCGCTACTGTTATACGTAATACGTATATGAACATAAAAGTACCTATCTACCAGCGTCCCACGTATACGTACGTACTTCGTAAGCCTAAGTACATAACATATTTATGTGGGTGGATGTGTGTGTGCGCAGATGAGAGCGTGAACTTATTGTGTTCGCATCGTCGTAAAATATTATACCAGCCCCGTAATGTGCGTGTATTTACACGTATGTGAACTGTGAAAACTCTAAATAAAAAAAAAAAATAAACAATAATCTCCCGTGTATATCGAGCGAGTTGAAGAATAAATTTCGGATGAAATGGGTATAACGACGGTTGAAATATATTACGTTCACAATATTACTTTCGCATATATACAACAGTAATAGTAATTTTACTATAATAACAGGTAGTAGCGAGTATACGTATACGATACACTATCGTTATGTGCTGTGCATAATGCGTATATGCGTCCTAATTGCATGGCAATAGACGTGCGACGATATGAAAACGTTATAATGATTTAGTCGAAGGGGTGGAAAAATGCAAAACAAAAAAAAATGCTTAAAACGCTATTAACTATGTATAGCTGGTACCTATACAGTATATTATATACATATAAACGTGCATATATATAATAGTGTTTGTGTGCATAGAGCACTAAAAGTACACGATTATCGTGATCGTATATACGTACATAATATTACGTATATTGTAGGTACATTATAAAATACGCGCGACGGTCCGTACACGGGACTTTTTTTTCATTATTATTATTTGTATATTCATGAACTCTACTCGCGGGTTTACAGTCGTCGTATAAGTATATATGTATGAAACGCGAGTTTACATCACCAATTATTATTTTATAAAAGCGTAATATAATGACTGCGCGTACAACGGTTGACATACGGATAGGTGGGTAGAGAATAATAACAACCATAATGATAATAATAATACGAAAAAAAATTGGATACGGTACACTGATTGTAAGTCGATCGCCTATATTATAATCRCCGTGTGAACTACGTCCTTGGCGGTGCTTGATGGATGCGCTAGGTGCGCAACGACGATCGACGCGTGACGACGACACAAGACGACGGGAAGGCGCGTATTAATGGTGCGGTACATGGGATATTACCTGGAAAAAAATTAAACAGGTGTTTTTCTTTAACTTCTGCTGTTTTGACACTGTATGGCGTTTCCGGTCGCTCGAGCTATGCCG